ATCTTTAAATTTTCTTAATCCGAGAATAGTCACTTGGGATATTCTTCAGCGGCAAAAAATGTGAATTATTATAAAATATTGTATGGATATTGTTTAATAAATTTCTTTCTTTTTTAATAGTTATTCTTTATGAATAATTTAAATATGTAATTTTACCGAAAACTCGCAATAAAAAAGCGTTATTTAAAAATTTTTTTTTAATATTATATAATAAGCTACTTATGCTCATTTTATTTAATGTTTATTTAGCTTTTACTTACTTTTTTTTTAGAAAATTGTAATTAAATCCATATCCATAATATTTTTAACCTTCCAGCAGGTGCGCACGTGCTTTCCATACACGCGTGCCGGTTTTTTGAAGGAGATATAGGTAAAATCTATTTTCTGGGTCTTGGCTTTCCAAGGTATTCCTTCAGCGTCTTTCGAACTGTCACTTCTACTTTTATAATTTAATGTGTCACAGATATAAAAACATAGTGTTTCTGTTGATCTGTCTATCCGGAATTGAATTTCAATTGAATCATTCATTTTAGATGTATGTCTATATAACGATAAATATAAAAAATGTTCTTTATACTCCATTTAAAACTGATTACTTTGACTTGACTGTCGGTAATGCACTGTTCCATTCTATGCTGTCTTAGGAAATATATTTGAATACTCTGTGTGTGATTCGTGTAATTTAGACTCTTGATAATTCTTTTTTGTTTTGCAACTGCTAGTTACCTTCTGTGATGATGGTAATGAAAAAGTCACACAATATAGATATCGATATCACACAAGACTTCTTTTTTCGACACTCGAATAAATTAAAACATGAATGTTAATCATAATTTATTAATCTTTTTGGTATACGACAAATCTTTACTTGTGTTCGATCTTAACACAGTTTCATAGCTGGTTAAAGAGTTCTTTTTCAATGTTCCAATTGTACAATTAACTCAAAAATCCACGACTTAAATTTATTATTATTGTTGTATACGCTGATAATGGCTTAAATATAAGTCGAAACGTTCGTATGCATTGTTAACCAAGAAACTGTATAAAATGATTACTTTTATGTAATAATTTTTAATAGATATACGATAAAGTTAACTATGTTTGCTGTCAATTGCCCTTATTTCTCCTCAAGACTTCTTCCGACATTCGAATAATTAACAGATGCAAACCATAGGAGTATCTATGTCGAATTCAGATCGTGTTCTGTTAACGTATGTTGTTTATGTAGAATCAATTTTTAAGATATCAGGGCATTTTTTCAGAAAAATGTTTCTGTAATGGATACATAGGAATTGCTTAATATCGGTGAAAAGCGAAAGATTTTACAAGTTGTACAAAAATACAATCACCATCCTCAAATGCAATAAATGTTTTCATTTTACTTGCAAAAAACATTCGACGGCAATTATTATTTGCAATAATTATACTACAATTGAAAGTGCATAAAACTTTTTTTTTAATTCATTTTCTAATAAAAAGTAATATTTATTTTTTTTAATAAATGATTATTTAGATATAAACTTTCATCGCATAATGTTTATTTGATATATTGCTTATTAGCAATATATATTGCTTATTAGCAATATATATTGCTTTAATTTTTCGAATTTTCATTCTTATTCTACGATGTTTTTTGTACATGGCGCGCTCGTTATGAAAGGATGCGTGCCTACTGGAAGGTTAAATACTAATACATTGAAAAATAACATAGAGAACGTATTTCATGTTATTATTTTTTTCTAAGTGGAGGCAGCAAAAAGATATAAAGATTATCTTCACTTCTTTTTAAAATGGAATTATATAATTTTTTCACGTAGTATGATAATCCTCTAATTATTCTACATATAAAAGTATTAAGATTGAGATATCAAAAAATCAATAGTTTACGAGATATTGAATTAACTTGTAGTTGCTTAAGGGTCGACAGAAGAGACTATGGAAATCTCTAGTCTCGTCTCTCAGAGACGAATTACTTTATGCTAAAATTATGACTAAAATACATGAATAAAATGCATGAATAACGTTTTAATTGCGATATTCATAATAATTTTAAAGTTACCTGAAAACTCGTATACAGAGTGAATTTTTTTTAAAGGCAAAATAAAAATTCATTCTGATATCTCGCCCGATGTGTACTAATAGTCTTGAGCTACACATAATTTTATTTATAACTTCAAGAATCCATTTGCAAAATCGGCTCTGTACGCACCTTTGCAACTTCATAAAAAAGAAGCTGACTTTTATTTATTATAATATTTTTAAGAGCGAAAATTTAAAATTCTGCTTTATAATAGGCATAGCTGAAATATAAGTCAAAACGAGTTTCATGGCAAAATATTTCTTCTACAAGTCAATATAATAATGGTAGAATCTGATAAGAGTGCATATATGCAGCTGCAAATGGAGTGTAAAGAAGTTGACTTGTCACTCCTGTCGACTCTTTAAAAACATGTAGACAAAATAGATAACTTTTTAAAATAAGCAATTACGTGTTTTTTATATCAATTGATTCATTTCATTATTCACACATAAAAATATTAAAGTATGATAAAAAATTAATGATATTTAAATTAATAGATATATTTAACATTTTATGTCAAAATAAAGTATAAAATATCTCATAAACTATTAATTTTTTGATATCTCTACCTTAATATTTTTATATACAGAATAATTAGAGGAATATATATATCATGCAAAAAAATCATAATTTTATTTTAAAAAATGGAGGTAATCTTCGTATCTTTTTGACGCCTCCTAGAAGAAAAACAACATGGCTAAAATATGTTTCTCTCGAAATCAGTCCATTTCTATCTAAAACATTTTTTTTTGTATCATTAATAATTTCGAAAAAAATTGATTGTATTGATTAAAATGAACTATCCTGTTACAATATGTTGTTAATAAGAATAATTTTAATTTGAGACCCCAAATGATTGTTTACATGTAAACATTCATATGTAAAAGAAGTCAAGTAACTATTCCCGAATTAAATAATATAATTATATGAACTGAGCATTGAGATACTATAACATACTGTTCAGTCTGCCAATCTTTTCTAAATGCCCACATGTTAAAAAAATCTTCAGAATTATCTGATTCTTCAGATTCCCTTTGGCTAGCGGACATGTCAGTGAGAACATCAGATTTGATACACGTTGGCGGTGCCATATTACTTTGAAAAGTACGTGATATATCATATGAATAACTGAAATAGAAGTTACTGCTGAGATCAATACTTTGAAACATTTTTACATATCTCTGTTCGTCAGGATGGAAGATTCGTACAATGTCATTTGGTATGTATATCATTGATGTATCTTCTATTTTATATATTGTATGATGACCAATAACTGCAATTCGGCGACGTTTTGTAACTAGGATTATGTAATATCCTTCCAAAAAACGGATAAACCCTGCATCAAATATTTTTTTCTAAAATATGTCTGTAACTTATCACTATAATTATTATTGTCAATTATTATTGGATATGCTTTATATTTTCGCTATATTTCTAAATCATTAAAAAAAAAAGTTGGATATCGAGAACTTGCTTGCATATTTTATACACATTCATAAGCACTACTAGTTTGTAATACGTAGCGCCCATTATCTGTGTGTTATGTGATATCCATGCATTTAGCCTAATTACATTACATGTGAGAAGTATGATATATAAGTAAATATCACACCATGCATGCGGGAGGATATGTACATACCATGATGTACCATGATGTCTGATTGCGAATATTAATTCTGTTAATCATATAGTGTTTATTATTCTAACTGATTGCATATTGGCCTATCAAATACCAATTCATTAACCGAATAACTCTGTGTTGTATAATCAATGGTATATTGTATAATCAATGTTTTGTCGTATATTCCTTTAAAATTAACATTCAAAATATTTTATTTTATACCAATTAAATTATTTCGCAACAAAGTTATTCCGTTTATCATAATTATATACGTCTACTTTCGGCTTTGTCAATAAAAAGCTTTATGCCTTACCAAGGAGAGCAAAAGCTGGTACTAGCCTGGGGAAAGTGTCTCTCTGCCACATACTCGTCCAGGTAAATTTAGTTTGTGTCGGTTTATGCAGTGGTTTTTGTAATTCTTGTTGCTCAGGCTCCTCTGATATACTCGAACTAGGTGCAGGTTCTTTACTATTTTTGCCTTTATTAGCAACCAAATGTAAATAAGCTAAGTTTCGTATAACGCAATTAATAATTCCGATAAAGTGATTTTAGTATCTGATAGTAATATAAATAATATTAGTAATAGCGTGTAACAATTATAACAAGTTTTATATATATGTATATATGATACAGGATGTGTCAAGTGTATCTGATCATCTGCAATCGGAACAACATTACACACTACAAGATTAAGCGTTTTATCCCAAATCTGTTAAGCCTAATAATTTGTCTAATATTATAAACTTAATATTATTAATAATTTTTTAAAAATTTGTTTGAATGGTTTATTAATTACGATCAACAAATTATTAAGTTCAATAGATTTGGGCTAAAATATTTAATCTTATAGTGTATTCCGATTGCGGATGATCAGATACATCCTGTATATAGGAAAGTTATCATATCAGGACAAAGCTTATAACATTGAGGAGCCTAAGTTTCAACATTTTTACTAATATTAGAATGAGAGAGAAAGAGAGAGAGAGAGAGAGAGAGAAAGGAATGTGTATATACCAGGTTCTAGATGTACCATTTAAAATATGTACGATTACATAAGTAACTGTTTATGTTTTAATACATATGCGAAAGCTTATGCATGCAGTTATTATTAAGTTCGTATTTATTAAAGTGCAAGAGAAACGTGTGTAATGATCTTACCAACAATCCCAAAGGCGGATACGACACGTGCAACACCACCCACGTTGCTGCGTTGTCCTGCTCGTGTTCGGTTACCCATGTCAATCATATTGACGAGATCTTTTATTTCGTCTTGAGTATATTCCCTCTTGTCGTCCACCACGATCAACTCTCTTGGTTCCATTCTGTCGATTTTCAGGACTCGAAAACGCGTTAACGTGTTGTTGGATCCCATCAGGTAAAACCGCTGTAAAAGTGTAAATCTTGAAATCTTTGATAAATTAGATGCAAGAATGTCACAGTTAAAAACTCACAGATTTTGTCTCGTACAGAGCAATTTTCTGTATAGAGGAGATAATCGGATGAAACACCATCGTTGATTTTCCTTGGTCTTCCATGATGATGTAGCGTTTATTACAATTTTATTCTGAGACATACGATTAACTTTAACAGGCTGTCATTGATATCTCTACTGTTCTCGGCTTTCTCAGCAGATGATATGAAAACATAACCTTCAAATTGTTGTCTGATAGCGTTTTTTCACTAACAGAACTGATGCACACTCAGTGCGCATTAACGCTATTATACACTAATCTAATCTGAATGTGAGATGTCTCAATTAATAAATTATGTATATTTTATCAAATAGCACAATAAAATGTATTGGGGATTTCGCAGTTTAATTCGTTTTTATATTTTTAAACATACTATATTTATTAAACGTACATCTTTACATCGATTTGTATACAACCAGCTCTGCCAGTGAAAAACGTCTATGACTTTTATTCCTATACTTTATTCCTTGTCGAGAGGATGCTAAGTGCATGCAAGTTTAGAGTAGTTTAGGATATCGATTATGTATCTTTTTTCCTAAAGCGAAAACGTGAAAAATAAAAAATTTATTATGATATGTGAATGTACATATACATACATGCATACAAAAAAAAATTTCACTTTTCACATTTTCAATAGCCTGATGATACATAATCGATAGCCTGAACTGCAATGGTGCAATAAGTTAGAGTGAGACAAAAATTAATGATTAGAAAAATAAAAAAACACGAGCAACGTTTATTGAAAAATTAAACTTCAAAATTAAACTAGTTTATTGCAACACATTAAGAATTAGACTATTTCATCGTTGGATAGCAAGGAAAAACAAAGTCCAAAATTAAAATATCTATTACTAAAGTCATCTTCAAAAGAAGACAAATGTTCCCGATTAATTTATAGATAAAAAACTAGTTTAATTTTAAAGATCCAATAAACATTGCTCGTGTTTTTTAATCTTTCTAATCACTAATTTTTGCTTAGCAATCTCGAGCTAGATATTTTACATATTTTAATTTAAAGTGTCAGTTATAATTTGTTTCACTCTAACTTATTACACTAAATTCAGAACTAGTCCAGAATTCTTCAAAAAAGAATAGATCTTTATGTATAACAGAATTATAAAAATTATGGTATTTTCTTACATCGTGATAAAAACTAAATTAACTATGGTTTTTTTATACATCACAATTTTTATAAAAATCTTATCTCCCTTACAGTACGATAAAAACTAGATAATATTATATAACATATCAAAACAAATTTTCTCTTACACAAAATCTACTTTTATAATTTCATATACAAGACTTTGAATATTCGAAAACGTAAAAGTGATAGAAAGTATAACAATAAATAAACATTTTAATTTAATATAATTATTTTTTATTTTTTTCTATCATTAACACTTGCAATGCCAATACAGAATCGCAATGCCAGAAGAGTCTATACAATTTATTATCTACATAATACCCGCTTAGTTTTTAAAGAATACTTCCTTTACAATAAAATAGAATGAGTTAGCTGTACAAAAACCAACGTATGCAACTACAGCTCCGAACACTATCCTGTCTTTTCTGCCACCTGCCAAGTATATTGGTACATCCTTTTTCAATGCTTCCTGCAAACAAGATCAAACGTAAATCTGTGTTTAAAATCTAATTGCAGCTGAAAATTATCGTTATGTATACTTACCCCATAATGCTTGTACTTTGCCCACAATTTTGGGTCAAGGGTGGCTGGTTTACTAGTGCAATAATCTGATTTAGGCGTAACCGTTAAAGATTTTGTCTTGATGGAATCATAAATTATTATTGGCTCTGATTTCTGTAAAGGAAGAGGAGACTGAAACAACATAAAACGTTGACTACTTATTTATTTTATAAGTATGTTTATTTATTGTATCCACAGTAGCACACAGTGTTTACAAAGCATTAACCAAGCGCTACTTGGACATATACATTGAATGAAAATATTAATGGTTGCATTCAGCAGAGAAAGCAGCTTTGCAACTATTGTAAAATTCCTCAATACGATTTATTTTTGCTTTTAATTTGTTATAGATCTAAATGTATAAAACAATCATATATTACACGGCATCCTTAATCGAATTTAATAACATCTGTAGTTATGAAACTGACGAATCATAGCTATTTCTGTGAAGAATGGAATGACTGATTAGCTAGTTTTATACAGATATTATTAAACTTAACTAAGGGTATAGTCGAGTTGCCACTACGAATGCATCAAAGCATTTGATTAATCAATCGGAAAAAAGAATTTTACTAATTGATCAATCAAAAAATGCTTCGAAGCATTCGTAGCGGTAACTCGATCGCAATCTAAGAGAGTGCCACATAAACATAGTTATGGTTCGCCATGCATAGTTGAAGAATTTTACAACAGCTTGTAAAGCTGCTTTTCTGCTGAACACAGTATGTCAACTATTTCAACTAGGATCGTTTTGTTTTTCTCTTTCTCTCTGTCTTTTTCTCTCTCTATATATTATATTCTCTATATTCTATATATATCTAAAAATGTATTTATAGAATATAGACTTTTTATGTATTTATATGTAAGACACTGATCATTTTGCTTCCAAAGTATTAAGGTTAACGTATGATAGATCAATTTAAGATAATATACAAGCTAGTATAAACTTCATTCATTACGTTAGTTAATTATAGCATATTATGTCAATGCAAGCTCTGATAAAGATGTTACATGAACGCAGGTACTCGACATGGCCGAATCACTGCTCTACGTTCGATAAAATCGGACCTAATAATCAAATGACGATCGATCTGAAGGACACACTCAAGAAAGCAAAGCGAGCACTGAGATTCCACAGAAACAATGAAACGAGCAATTTGGCGACATCCTCAGACAGAGATGTACAGAAATCGAGCAGTCAATCGATGAATTTTTTCGTGTGCGAGATACAGATTAGGTGCATCCTTACTTACAATAGGATACAGTGGCTGAAAATTGGTGGACGGCTTAAGCTTGCCAGTGAATGAATTATATTGATAAAACGGCATTTTTCACAATTGCGCAACCAACAATCACCAGACGACTTCGTTGTGTCTCTGTACAACTTTAGCGGCCATAGATTGTCATAGATTGTAGATTCTGCAACCGCAAGTGGCGTAGCTGCAAGCGGACATAATTCTTTGGCGGGAAGACAAACGATACAACATTGATTTCAGCAGAGGTAAGAGGTTAGTATTGAGAAGGGACCAAAAAAAGAATCTTAAAAAAGAAGATTTCCTTATTTAAAATTAATAATTTTCTATAAAATCTTCCATAATCTCTTTTCAACGCATAAAATGTGCACCCTTGGAATTCTATTCGGCAAAATGAAAAGAGTTTCAAATATTCCGTAGATCAATGATTCGCGCAACCTATTTAAAAGATGATGATTTTATCGATAAAAGCACGTTTTATCTCTAAAATTCTATAATATGCATGACGTAAATTATAGCACGTTAGCGCGCTAACATCGTTATAAGCGCGTTCTGAATACGGCTCTATGTTTAAAGAGCCAGTTTTAGAAATTTTCGGTTCACATATGACTGCGGTTTATTTGATGCTTCAAACACTATAAAGCATATCTAGCATCGCCCAGTAAACGAGAATGGATTAAAATGGATTGAAATTTTTTTCTATCCGAATGCGTATTTTATATATATAAAAATTTTATATATATATATAAATAGCGAATACTTTTTTTGGATTTAATTGGATTCAATTGGATTCAATTGGATTCATTTGGATTGAAAAACTGCATTTCCTATTCAAAATTTTTAATTGAATAGTATTCACAATGTTTGTTGTATGTGTTGCACAGAAAAAATTAATATTATTTTTAGATTGAAAGGCATAGAGATATGCTCCATGCAATTTCTATAAATGTATAAAAATGCATTCAGGATTGAAAAGCATACATTTTAACATTTGTGAATCAATATTTCTGAAAATCCGAATCCATTTCAATTCATTTCAATCTATTCTCGTTTGCTGGGAAGAGCAAAATGCATTCCTAGCAAGAGGAGAGAAAACGTAGGATGGGAGTCGTTTTGCATGGAAGTCGTGCGTCCCCAAGCAGGGGGGAGGTGGAGTGGAAGTCGCTTTGCGTAGAAATCATGCGTTCCCAGGAAGAAAAACTAAGGTCTGTTTCCACCAATGTAGATTAACTTTAATCTCGATTCAACTTACTCTTCATCTTTTTCTAGTTCTAAAGATTAAATGGAGGATTACTCTTCTGATTTTATGTTAGCCAAAATGGAGTGCGTATGCGCGAAATAAATAAGTAACGCCATCTAAACTTCTATATCACTTCTTTCTTTTTTCGTTCTCTCTTTCAGAGTCATTTAAATGTTAGAATAGCTGAAATACGAATCAGAGAAAAACATAGAAGAAAAGAAAATCATGATTAATTTAGTTTAATTAGTTTAATTTAGTTTTGCGAAGTTTTATGAGAAAAACTACATGTTAACAGAGTAATAGATAAAATATGATACAATAGACTATAATATGATACAATAGACATAACAAAATAAAATACAATAGTCATTAGTAGCTTGCAAATGATTAGGCGTCAGCAAAATTGCTGTTACAAAACTCATTAGCAACAAAACCGGAAATAAGACAACAATTCAATGAGAGGTGAACAATTAACTGAAATATCACACGCACACAGACCTAGTGCAAAGTTTGCATACCTGCAAACACGCTAATTTCAGTCTCTTAAATACTGTGAGTGATATATATAATTGCTGGATTGCTTTCGTTTTAGCTAGAAAATCTGCGTTCTATGTGATGCAATTCTAATAATTTACTAAAACACAAGCAATCTAACAGAAAAACAAGCATCGTGTGTCGCAGTCGTTAATTAAAATATTTTTACAATATTCGTATCATACAACATTTATATAATTTTATATTTTTTCTTATTTTTGTATTTTTTTTTATTTTGCAATGCATTACAATTATGAATCTATTTCTTTTAGTTTTATTACATTTAGATTAAAAAAAAATTTCATGTGCATATAAACCGAGAGAGAGAGAGAGAGAGAGATAAAGGAAAAATAAAGAGCAACTGAGAAAGAAATTCAGATGGCGTTACTAGGGAACTTACTAATTTCGCGCATGTGTATTCCATTTTGGCAATACTAATATCAAAGGTGTCGAGAGAGTTGCGCTGCTGTATATATTATAATTGCGTCATCAGAATCGAATCGAAACTCGAAAGTGTAGAGATTCTCTAAGTAGAGATTGGCCAAAGCCCCTGCATGATGTGAAACTGGAAATAATATTTTGGAAATACGTACCCCACGTTTTTAGAGGATCTCTAAGGTGCGGTGGGGAAGATACTATCAACACTATTTGTTATTTTATCCTTCTAATAAACAACGAAGATAGAATGATAGAAGTAGCACTAATAGTGTCTCCCCGGACGCACCATAAACGCACATTTCCAAAACACGTCATTTCCGGTTTCACAAGCCGGAGTTTTAGCCAATCTCTACTTAGAAGATCTCAAAGAAGGTGTGTATTCTTCTAGATCATCCTATCAGACTTTTAGCTTAGTTAGAAGAATACATCAATAGAGTAGCTCATTCAACTACTGAGTTCGCTGCAGTTTGCTGAGTGTTGAACGTAGTCAATGACACTCTACTGTTGGTAAAACGTAGAACATGTAACATCATCAATCTATTGCCACGCCAGCCTAAAACACTGTTAATTCGCTTGTTATAAAAAGTGAGATTATAAACCTGTTATACAATAACTAATTCATCAGTAAGTATGTCATTATCTGAATATAAAATATCTTGCATAATTTTAGACTCGGTATCACTTGTGTAAAAATGGAAAGCAACTTGTAGTTATTTTTTTTCATGAAATGTAATTACAGAAAATATAATTTTGTATTTTCAGCTATGAAAATGAGCCTGTCGATCATGAAACCTATTCAATAATGTGTTTTTGATTTCTTGTTTCTTGTTTTTTTGCTTTCTTATATCTTGAGCGGAATCCATAGACGTTGCTCAAGATTTGAGATGGCTTAAGTTAACGTATGAACCAATCAGAGAGCCTATTAGTATCTTAAGACATTGTTTGAGATTAAAAATGGACTATGGACTCTTGTTTTTTTATCTCTTATTTCTCATTTTCTGTCGCTCAAAATAAAATTTACAAACTTCAGAAGAAACATGGCAAGAAACATTCTCGATAAAATAATCGCAAAGAAGTAAAAAGCAAGAAAGATAGAAAACAAAGAGGACATTGTATGATCGGTTTAATTAAAAAATTCACAGGTGAATTGCATTCGGCTTGCAGTTTCGCATCATTGTCGTAGGTAATAAGAAAAAAAATTAATATCTGGAAAGGGTCTTATTTTACTACAGAAAAATTACCATAGATTGAGATCTTGGAAATTTTTAATTTTTCGTAAATACTTGTAGTGGAACGTAGAATGTAGTCTGTTTGTCTTAGAAATTCTTATAGTTTTTCGTAGATATTCGTAATCTGACGTAAAGTGGCGTTGAGGGCAAAGGATTTCTTGGTTTTCCAAACAAATGAAAGTGACGCCATTCTACGTCCCATTATAAATATCTATGAAAAACTAAAAATTTCTAATATCTTGTTTCAATCGATGAGTTTTTCGTAAAAATTTTTCCGCCAATCTCATTACTTTGTCCTGAATAAAAAAATGAAAGGATCAGAAAGAATTGAAAATATGCGTTAATAACCTATATAATTTATCATAAATTATTTTCCTTTATTATATAATACATTATTCTAATATAAGAATATTTATTTTGTAATGATAGTAGCGTGTGTCCCTGACAATACTTAATCGATATGTATTGTTATAAACGCAACTTTATTCATTTTTATAAAAAAAAAAAATCGCATAATTTGTTCGTTATTATATCCGATATCTGAAACATTTTACCGAGCCAATACTACGTCTCGTGCACTCGTGCTTCTTCGTGTAAAATGTTAGTTTCCCGAAACTAGCGCACTCTAGCATATTACGAGGTTAGATATAGTTGCAACAGTTGCAGGTCTCCAAAAGTTGCAAGTCTTTCGTGTGAAAAGGTACTAATTACGTTTTATAATAGTACTTTTTTGTAATCTAATTATAAGATATAAACAGGACTTTAATAGAAAGATTATGTCAGGCTCTAATATTAAGAATTTTAGTTTCTTACATATGTGGACATGGCACATATCTCACTCATGATTCTTTTCATTGAGATTGTGCCTATATTCATAGTGAAGCCTTATATTTAAGGCTTCCTTTATTATAAATTTATCTTTAGATAACCCTATAAATTATTTTGTTGACTACTAAACATCTCAAAATAAATTTAAGAATGCCTCAAATATAAGGTTTATTGGTCTGTTTTCTGTTCCTGCACTAGAACTCTTAACAAATATCAAACATATACCTATCTTACCTTTCCAAAAGTTTATTCAATTCAGTCACAGAAAACAGACCTTATGAGTACAGGCATTATTTCACATTGTAAGAATATATTCACACAAACTTGCATATCCGCATAAACATATGCATAAAGAAAATTACTCATTTGTATTTCTCTTACATAAAAGTCACACATAAAGTGCGATTGGATAATTTTCTTTATGCTTATGTTTATGCAGTTATGCAAATTTGTATGGATATATCCTAACGAATATTTATGCTGTGGGACATAATATTAATAAATAAAATGTTATCTACTTTGTTTCAGGTGTCACGTGATATCATGAGTGAGATATTGTTAATGTAAATGATTGTTTAAGGAAAGCAAATAACATTATTCAATAAGTAGCTTTAGTTTCCATATTTGTATTGCCAGGTATGATACATATTGAAGGTAATTCTCTCTTTTTGGATGTAATTTAGATTGTTACATACAAATATGTAAATATAAATATATTATATAGATCCAGTCAGATTTTAAGAACTGTAAACTGTTAAATGTCACTTAAATACATACCTTGCTAGAAATAAATCTCTGAAATCATTGAAAATCAGTGAAATCTATATCAATTGACTCATTTCAGTTTATACTGAATTGGGTCAATTGACATAGATTTTAATGATTTCAGTGATT